GTCATGACGGGCCGTTTATGTGAAGGTGAGCCCCGCTTCGTTGTACACTTTGAAGACCTTCTCGATGGCGTTCACGTAGGCGGCTGTCCGCAGGTCCAATCCCAAGTTGTACTTGCTGGCAGTGCGCATGATTTGCTGCGAAAGCAAATGTTACCGAATCATAAATGGTTTGTGTGAAACAATAAAGCTATAAAAACACACTAAAAATTAAATATATCATTAACTAGCTGTGCAGTTTAGACAAACATTAACCTTCAGGACAAGAAAATAAGTTAGGAGTTGTAGAAAAAAAAACACTTTCTGTTGAATTCATTTATTTAGACCTTTAAAATAATGTTAAAATACCACATTATAATGTAAAATGTAAAAAAAAAAGCATTATGTAAAATTTAAAACTATAAATTAACTGCAATTTCAAAATCACACTAAGCCCTTTAGAAGATTTATAAATATTCCTCCAATTAACCAACGAATGAGAGCTGGAAAAAGATTTTTAGGACATTTTCTAAATGAAAGTGTGAGACCAACTACTGCAGCGAACTCTTTGGGTTGTGTTGGTGATGCTGAATAAAAATGTTTATATTTACCGCGCAGTTTTAAAAACCTCAGATTAACAGTACGTGATGGTTTGACTGACAGACAGCAGCTACAATGAGTTAATGCCAACAGATTGACATTAAAGACTTAATAATTAGAAATAAAAACATGAAACTCATTTTGTTTTTAACCCTTCATGAACCTCTTCTGGGGATTTTTTTTGTCAAAAGATGCTCCGTTACATGTGAAAGCTTATTTTACTTCTGAACATTATTGAGAATTTCTCATCTCTAAGGAGTAGGCCTGTCACAATAACTAATTTTGCTGGGCGATTAATTGTCTCAGAAATTATTGTGATAAACGATAAATATTGTTTGAAGTTTGACAGTAATTATTGTCAAATTTAAGAAGAAATGTTGGTTAATTTACTTTGCGTGTAGTATCTTTTTTTGACCACCTGATGGCAGTGCAAGACAGTTTGAACAGAAGGATGCGATAGTGAGGGAGTGAGCAGCGTGTCGCTAAGAAAAATGTGAGGGAGGCCCCTTGACGTTACATGGGCTGTCTCTCCTTCCTTGTTTATGGTTCTAAAAATGGCAGATGCTCGGTGTGGTTTGAGCTCTTTAGCATAGCACTGTTCACAAAAAGCTTTTAATAAAGAAAAAAAAATCAGTAAACAAGTTCTCAACTTCTTTTAACAGAGTAAAACAACTTTTTACACAAAGGCACGAGTTTCAACCGTGAATTTTGGAGCTTTGACAAGACGGAGGTTTTTTTTTCCCCTGAGGTCGGCCTGTTAGTTTAGCTCGCAGCTTAGCTTCTCAGCTTAGCTGCTTTTAGCGAATAGAGAAAAAAAGAAGAGAAAAAATGATAAAGCCGATAGATGAAAATGAGGTTGAGATTTTTCATTTATCATGCGACTAATTGATTTATTGTTTATTGCGACAGGCCTACTAAGGAGATTTTTTTTATATTTGTTTATTTACTGAAAAACTGAACGTTCCTCTAGTTTGAATCTTTTAGTGAAGCACAGAGTCTATATGGAGCCAAGATCTTAAAATTGAAATACGACTATGACTTGATTTCTTTTAGTAGTCTATTAACCTGCCAGTTTATAAATAACTGCCACCCTCCTATATTATCTGTGTTTTTAAACACTGTATGGTGTTGTCTTAAATAATCACTTACCCGAGCAGATCTCTCCATTGTGTAGGCCAACCCAGAGTGAACAATGTCTTTCTCAGAGGCACCCTGCAAAGACAGATTACATGTTAATTAACCTACCTCACAGAGGCAACTGAAAAACACTGATTTATACAAAATGACAGCTGTGGTCAGCATTTCTTAAGACTATAAATCAATAAAATAAACACTATCCGCACGGTCACCGAGTGTTTTTCGTTTGTCTCATCCTTTCTGCAGAGGTCGCCACAGTGAGCGAACACGAATAAAAAAATTTGCAATTGCTTTACTCCAATTGCTCTTCCTTACACAACCTGGGCTTGAGCCTGCAGCCTCAGGAGTGTGAGACTGCAGCACTGACCACTAATCTACCGCACCCCCTGGAGTAGATTATATTAAATCATTCAATCTGGTTCAAAACGCAGTTACGGCCCCGTGGTTGTACGGAAACATGAACAAACCTTTGGTTCCGTTAGGATTTTGTGAGAATTGATTTTGTATCAAATGCTTTTACCATTCAGGATGTTTAAAAATGTATTTCTGATAAAGCTTAAAGTATTTTCAGTATCAAAGTTTAAGATGTAGCACAACTTTAATGACAGAGCATAAAGCCACATTAGGCAAATATTAAAATACAAAAATACAGTTTTAAATGTACACAAAAGTGGACATTTAAAACTGGTAGCTTTCTTTCTCTTATTATTTATTTATATTTTTATCTTGTGCCATGAGAAGAATTGTTTGTTTTAATTATCACAGTATTTTAGTCTTTGTGTATTTTATCTCCAGTAGTCTGAGATTAATACACTCATTTCAAATAAAGAAAGGCTGTTTCCTGGAAGCATCGTTTCCTGGTGCAGATTGAGTACATAAAAAAAGGATGTTTTAATTTTAATTAAACATTTATTGGTTTATGACGATAAACGTTACTCACAGCAATTCTGGCCTGGAAGTCAGCAGTGGGTACGATGGGGATGGGTCCGCCCTGCTTTCCAAACTTCCTCTCCAAACTCTCCTGCACAGACACTGGACACGGAGAGAATTGAAAGAAGAAGAGGTTAAATTTAGAAATCATTCGGTAAACATGCAGATGTTTTCTCCAGATGGTGGCTCCAAGGATGTGTGACTAAATCCTAACGCATTGTAGGACAAAAAGCATGTTTGTTAGTAGTGTTAAAATAATTTTTTAACAATCTCTTATTTATAAATTCTATCTAAACAACAACACAGATTAATCCTTTACATTGAAGAATCAAAAAAATGTATTAATTTTGAATTTAATAACCATCAATGAGGGACAAGAGGTAAAAAGAAATGCACACAAAGTGCAGCCACATACAGAGAAAGGCATGTGGTTGCCCAACACACAGGAACGTTACAACTTTAATTTATTTCTATAATTTTCTACACTTTCACAAATGATACGTGGCA